TCCTCTTCCTTCCTGCCTATCTCCCCACCCCTCCAGTAGATAAAAGCAAAGCATAGCTTTGGATAATGTTTTTTAGGAATCTTATTTGCTTCAGAAGTGATAGGCTAATGCCTAGAAAAACCTCAGAAGGTACCAGGCATCAATCTGGCTACAACAGTATCCTTGCAATGTATTGCAAGGAAAAGGCAATGCCTTCTGCATAAAAAACTGCTCTCAACGGTTTGCACATTGAGCAGTATCACCGGACAGTAGGGTATTCTGAAACCTGAATTATCTGAGGATACCAATACCATGTGTTGTCCTGCTCTTTGTAGTATGGGTAGTCTTAATGCTTTCAGGATATCTTGAATTTGAGAGTGGTTTTGCTAAGGTTTTTATGAAGCTATGTGCTAAAGTGTCTTGCACTAGCAAAAACAAAGATCCAGTAATGTGTTGCTTAACTATAACATAATTAGCATCATTCTTGCTACTTTCTTGTGAACATGAATTTTATGCAGTCATTTATTGCTTCTAAAGAACTGCTGTCAGAATAGCCTGTTCATAGATCAAATGAAATTACTCTCTACGTTACACAGAGAGTAGAAATATGATGACACCATTAAGGAGATAGAGGTTACTTGAAACTATTTAATAAAGACCCAAAATACTGAGAAGGCACTGGAGGCTTTAGTGAGAGCTGAATATCTTTTGAATTATCATGCTACATGAACTATATGCATCAGAAAATACTGTTGCTTACTTAATTGTCTGAATGATTTGTAAGCATAGTTGTTAAAATAATCTTGGTCTGTCTATTTATTGACTATAGTAAATAGTAAACTAAAGAGTGATTATATTTGCAAACCATAAAAGTGGAAGATAAAACCTCAGATCTCTATGGGGAGACGAAAACTTGAGTTAGGCATTCATTGCAATTTCAGAACTTCTATATTTGTTTTATTCAGCTATAGATGATTTGAGTTTCAGAAGTCTGTGACTCTCTACCTGTGTCTCTGCCTGTGTCTGCCTGTCTCTTTCATTTACTGCTCTGTTGTCTGAAAGTATGGTCTTTTTGGCCTAGATGCTTAGGGGAGTTCCAAAATAATTCTGTTTTTCCTTATGTATCTTAAAAGTGGCCACGATATAGTGATTGTTTTATTTGTTCCTTTACAGGGAAGTGTGGATTCGTCCAATTGGGATGTACTGAATGATCAGGCTGCTGAAGTAAGTGCAAAAGAAAGAATGTTTAGTGACACATGCTGATATGTACGTGATAAAAGGATATAGTTGGTTATTAAAATGCTATATATGGTTTAGTCTCAGAGGACTGTTGTCATACTTGTTATAAAAGTGATATGATCTCATTATTTTGAAGTTTAAAAGCTTGTATTTGTCTCTATCATTATCTGAGGACCTGGCTGGTAAGAATAGTGTTATTAGTGAATTTGGGACCTTATTTAGATTTTTGAATATATGTAATTGAAAAGAGTGTTTATTTCTTAATTGTTTCAGGCATTACAAGCCAAAAATATTTTAAATAAAACACAAAATACATGAGATTACTAATGATACTGATCATAAGAAATTAAGAGCAATTGCTCAATTATTGCTCAAAAGATTGGTTAGAGGAATTTTTCTTTTAAATTTCTTTGTTCTTATTAGGTTGATAAAGGCCATTAAAACTAACTTTTCACATGATATGTTGCTAATATTTATTTGCAATTGGCTAACTACTGTCCTGAGTAATGGTCAGCACAGAAAGACACAAAAAACTCTATTTTTGGTCATGTTTTGTTGCCTCTCACTTAGAGGTTTAAGTTTAAATCCCCAAACATGTCAGCATGGGACTTTTCTACAATCCAGTCCTATAGAATCAAATCATTCTCCTCCATATTTTAAGTTTACCCAATATATTATCATGGGAACTATATGATTTCTGATAAATATTTTTTTAAAGAATTGAGGTTTTAGTATATAATATTGATATTAATATAAATCTAAATGCTGTGTTTTTTTAGAAAAAACAGTAGAAGCTTGCAACTGAATTTATGTTCAGAGTCATTATAAAATAGAAATGCTACAATTACTTTTCTTTTTTCTTTAATGAAGAAAGCAGTGGAAAATTCTACTGCAGAATGCAGTCAGCTTGGTGATAGAATGTGTCAAATTAGAATAGCTGAGCTAGAAAATAAACTTCTGGAGAAACAGCAAGCAGTTGAAAGACTCACTGCACAGATGAACGAGCTGCAAGAAGAACTTACTCAGCACAATGACTCTGTGCATCTTCAGGTATGTTTCATAAAATTGGATAATGGGGATAATATTGCTTGTTTTGGGACCTGTCCCCTAAATATTTGTAGAATGAAAACAAAATATATTTTTTATGGAAGGGTATTTCACATTATTGAAATGTACTAGCAATAGACTTGACATGGATTTAGGAAGGGGTAATCGTGCTTAACCAATCTGATAGGCTTCAAGCTTGCTGGATGAGGGCAGAGCAGTGGATGTTGTCTACCTCGTTAAGGCTTTTGATACCGTCCCTCCTAGCAGCCTCACAGGGAAGCTGAGGAAGTGGGGGCTAGATAAGCACAATGAGGTGGATTAAAACCTGTTTGAACTGCTGAGCTCAGAGGACTGTGATCAGAGGCACCAAGTCTGGCTGGAGGCCAGTTGTTAGCGATGGCTCCTGGGAGCTGATACTGGGGCCTCTAGAGGTCCCTTCCAACCTTAAGCATTCTATGATTCTATGATCCTGTGGAAAAATGGTTACCTGTAGGCCAATAAGACCATGAATTCTCTAAAGGTATATATTTTTATTATCGAAATATGTTTATTTATTTAAAATCACTTCTGATTATATTCTCTCCTTTGAAATTAATGGAAGATTTCTCTTTCCTCATCCCTCTTTTCATGTTTTAAGAGTGCTCTGACAACTTTGCTTTAATAAAAACTACTGGGCTCCTAATATATCTGGGTTTTAAAGTTGAGCTTTCTGTGATTTATTTAGGAAAGTGCCGTCCAGGAACGGAATGAAGTCATAAGAAAGCTAACAAGCAGCCTTCAACAGGCAAGGAAGGACCATAGTGACCTCCAGGAAGAGGCTGCACATATAGCTGAGGCCATCCATGGTTTACAACTTCAGTTACATCAGGTGTGATCCTTCTGTAATATTTATTTCCTTACAGAATGAATAAGAAGAGGTTTGGAAACATAAGCACTAAAACTTCCTAGTTTACATTTTGACCCTTTTTTATAGTTCTTAAAGAATATGTAACTCTCCTTTTTCCTTCTTTGTGTTTCATGAGCTGTTTTTAGGGAATTTGATCCTAATTTGGCTTGCTATCTATACACAGAAATCAGTGTTATAATATGGGCTTGTTTGTGATCAGTTTAGCTCACTGTAACAAGTTTATTGTGTATCAGCGGAGCAATTACAGCTCTCTGGTTACACACCCTACCCTGAATTTCCCAAAGCTAAAAATGAGTTGTCTCTAAGGAGATTTAAAATAACCAACACAGCTCATGCTGCTCCTTTGATACAGCTGCTGAGCACAGGAACCAGTATTTGCTGATATGCTGATTGTGGATAGGAACCCCCTATGCATTATGATACATCTGTCCTTTCATTTACTATTTTTTTTTTTTTTTTAAAAATCTCGTGCTTCAGTATTACATTGGCTCCTTTCTTTGAATACCTTAATTGCTCCTCTCTTCAAATACTTTAAGTGTTGCTTTTCAGGAGCATTGTTGCAAGAGATTTGCAGGGTAAGAATCAGAGTAGAAGGGGTAGATGTCTTAAATGTCCAGGGATGCATAAAAAAAAAAAAACAAAATTTTTTTTGAAGAAATATGGGGTTTTGCTGCTCATGCCCTGAAAGCAAATCTTCTATTGGGAATGTGATTTTAACTTGGGAAAAGAAATACTACTTTTTCTATGCAAAGTGCTTTGTAATAGGGAGAGTTAATCCACAAATGACGATTGTTGGGATTTGCTCCATAAGCTACTTCAAGACAATTATAAAGGTTCTAAATAGCATTTCAGGAATACTTTAAATAAAGGCTGGTAATGTGATGCAGATCACTTGTGAAAGCACAATGTCAACTTCAGTAACAGAGGAAAGAACAAATACTGTTTTAAGTGTATTTATCTTCTTGGGGTGGCCACATTTTTAGGAAATGGCTTTGAAAATGAATTGCTGCTTTTGTTTACTGGCCTCTTACCACAACACTCAACTCATTGGGAGTCCTGACTTATTTTGGGGGCTTCATAAGTATGAATTATCTAACACTTATATTTATATGGTAAATAATAATCTTTTAAACATGAAAAGTGTCATGACCTTTTTGGGAAGAGTTTTATCCTTTGAAAATGTAAAAGGATAAATCTCTATCAAATGAACACAGTGTATGTTATGCATATACGGATCTCAGTGTATGAGTTATTCTGGTGTAAACTTACTTCTGACTGTGAGTATATTTATGCGTATAGGCAAATAAGATGCTGAGGAATAAAAGCCCTCAAAAAATCGAAATATTAGAAGCTCAGCACCAAGCGACCTTGTTTCAAGATCGTCTCAAAGAGCAGAGTACTCATTTGGAGATGCTGCGTCAGAAAGCACACAACTTGGAAGTAGAGCTTGAGTCTTCTCAAAAGGTAAAAGCTCCTTAAAGTTTCTTGATAATTACAGGTTCTCGTTAGCATTTTGTCATGATCTTGCAAGCCAAGATAGCTCTGTTTGGAAGAGGAGCATATAGTGAACACTCAATTTTTGCATGAGATAGCACTGATGATTCAGCACTGAACCAGCACTAAAACTGCTCTTCAACACAGTCTTAAAGTCAGGTTGTTGAAGGTGCTGATGTCCAGCAAATAGGCAAAATAACTGCTAAGAATTTAACTTGTGTGTTTGTGTGTGGATGTTCATTTATTTACTGTGTAACAAGGATTGAGTTTTGGCCATTTAAAATTCTCTTACTGTTATGTGTTGAAATAACACCATTAGTTTTTCTTGCAGAAGGAGAGGTCTTTACCACTCGTAGTAAACTGTTGTGTAAGATCAAGAAATTTTGTTTAGAAGTACTTTCTTTGCTGAGTTTATTGAACTGATGCATGTGGGAATGTAACTGAGACGACAGGCATAACATTCAAATAGGATGAAAGCTGCCGTAGAAACGGGATAACCACATAGTAATTTTGCAGTTGCCTTTGAACAACCACTCAACTTTTGCTCCTAGATAAGCATTTTAACTGTAACTGTAAGCATGTTACCTACAGATACAAAACAAAGTGAAATGCTTGTACGGGAATACTTTGATGCAGTCATCCCAGAAACAATACTACAAATAAAGAAAAAAATCTTAATAGTTAAAAAAGTTTAAAAAAAAAAAGTTAAAAAAAAAAAGCTTAAAAAAAAAGTTAAAAAGTTAAAAAAGTTAAAAATTCTAAATGTGGAGATGTCATAATATACATTTAGGATTTGATGCTAACTCTGACCAGTAGTGACAGGATGGTGAGCTTCGGAAAAAATCTGATTTCCTGTAAGCACAGAACCATCAATTAAAAGTTAAAAGCCTTAAATTTAAAGTGGGAGGACAGATAAGTGAAATTTGGCTTTTGTGCTAGTCTACCACTGTGTGCAGGAAGTGTTTTCTCTGTGTACAAATATACATGACAAGGACAGATATATATAGAGAGAGCTCATTCCTATAGTTTTGATTCAGAAAGCCTAAAGTTTGAGGCAGCTGCTGTTTTCTTTTTTTCTGGAGTCAGTGTCATACATTTGTTATTCCTCAGAAAAATCGGTATTTTTGGACAGATTTGAAGAGTCTTCCAGTAGTTTTTTCTACTCTTAAGGGCGTGTTTAAAAATATCCAGTTGCCTAGGCGAGTGAAATACTTTGACTTGTTTGTGATGAGATAAAGAGCTTGAGTGTTAGGGAATAAATGTCATATTTCAACTGCATATTTCATATGTAATATTTTATTTTTAAGAGTACCAAAGATAAAGAAAATCTTTTTGCCCAAATGGAAGAGAGTATGAAAGACACAATACAACAACTATATAAAAGCATAGAAGACAAAGAAGAGAGTATTAAAACTCTTCAGGATGTACTGACATCGGAAAGATTAAGTTTATCTATACTACAACATACTCTTTCTCTCCGGGACTCAGAAATAACAGAGTTAAAAAATGAAATATCCGTATCCAAAATGAAAGAACAGCAGCGTATTGAAGAACTCAAAGCAAATCACGAAAAGGATACTTGTAGGCAGTTAGAAAGCTTGAGAGCCGAACTAGAGAAATGCCACAGAAATGAGATTGCAAAAGCCAAGCAGGTATACGAAGAAGAAGCGATTTTAAAATATAAGAGTGAATTTGAACAATTAAAAAAAGAACTCTCTGCTCTCAGCTCTGAGGAAGACATTCATAATTTGAATGTCATTATAATTGACTTAAATAATAGGCTTCATGAGTCTGAAATTCATAAGGAAAATTTGAGAAAAAACCTGGAAATCCAACTGGAAGATTTCAAGCGAGAAAAATCTGAATCTGAGATTAAATACAAAGACTTAATTGCTGGCCTCAAATCCCAGCTTTCTGATGCAGAAGAACAAGTCAAGGAAGCCTGGCGATATAAGCAAGAAAAAGAGTGCTTGAATGAAGAGAACCAGAAACTCAATTTGCTTATCCAGGAATTAAATGAAAAACTACGTGCTGAGGCTGAAAGAAATATAAATCTAAGGCAAGAGATTGTCTGCAACAGAAAGTTAATGAATATGAGGGAAAAATTAACTTTGCCAGAGGTGTCAGAGTTGCAGAGAGGGGAGCTTGAAGAGATTTGTAATAAACCATGCCAGCTTAAAGGTGAAGAAGAGTTAGCTCATGAAGAACTACAGTCCCAGCATGGTTTGGGATTAGACTCCTCAAGAGGTGAATTAGAAGTTAAGAGTATGAAGCAGCTCAAAAATAATAGTGAAAATGAAAGTTATGAAGCCGATAGCTTTTCTGAAGAACATTCAGTGGAATTAGGCTCTTCCACCAGTGATGGAGGCTTACTGGCTAAATATCTCATCTCCACGGAGAGACCAGAACAGTCGTACATGTCAGATGCTTCTGAAGGTTATACCATTGAAGAAGGTCAGTGTGGATTAGACAGCAATATGCTTTTAGAACCCAATGCACATTTTGATCCACTTTTATTAAAACTTGGCTCTAGTGAGAAAATATGCCCTAGGAATCTAGCTCGAAGAACTTTTGAAGGGACTGAGATGGAAGCAGAAGCCTTCGTTTCATTTTTATCAGATAGCCCCCTGCAGCAACATAAAATAAGTGACAGCGATGATGTAAAGGATGAGGAGAATGTTTGCTTATTAGAGAGATGTGTGAAGCTGACTGAGCAGCTCCATGAAAAGGAGGCAGCCTTGAACAAGTCTCAACAGGAGACCCAAGAAGCTACTGATAGATGGAAAAAAGTGATAGCTGAGCTCTCCAATTTGCATGTGGAACTGAGTGAGGAACGTGAGGCACGGGCCCGCTGTGAAAAGGAGCTTGATCAAAAAACAAAGAAGGAGAAAGAACTTGAAAACAAAGTAAACTTTTTAGTAAAACAACAACAGGAGGATGGAGGCCAACATGATTGTGCTGAAGAGTCTGTAATACAACTATCAAAGTCCTTTACCTGGCAAGAAATGGTAAAAGACCTCAAGGAGGAAAGAGAAATGTTGATGGCACAATTGCGAACTCAGGAGCAATTAGTGAAAGAAGTTCAAGAGCAGAAGACTGCTTCCGATTCAGTAACAAGTGAAGTACAGTCTCTTTTTGGACGTCAGTTAGCAGCTTTGCAAAGTCAAAGGGATCAAATGCAAACCCAGCTTGATGCTCAGAAGGCCAAAAACCAGACGATAGCTGAGTTGCTTGGCCAGAAAAGTGTATTAGAAGAGACATTGCTGAAAGAGCAGGAGTCACTCAAAACTGAAATCAATAATAAAGAACAAAATTTAAAAACCTTACTGGAGGAAAAAGCAACCTTAGAGGAAAGATTATCTGACAAGGAGCAGAGTCTAGTAAAAGCAGAAAAAACCTTAGCTGAGAATGTTAGTGTCATAGAGAATCTTCAAAAAAACATAGAAGAACTTAATACAGAAGTGAAAAACCTCAAAGAAGTACAGGAGTGTGAAAGATTACAATATGAGGAAAAGTTGAACTCCAATAACTTTGAAATTCATAAACTTAATGCTGAAATAGAAGCAAAAAGCACTGAATACAATGGGAAAGAAAGCCACCTGACTGAAGAAATAGCTCAGTTGGAGAAAATTAAATTGGAACTTGAAACAAAATTGCAAGAGTCTATTAATTCTGCACAAGCTATGCAAGAAGCACAGTCTGAGATGGTGAAAGATTACAAAGAGAAAATGGATGAAATGGAATCTCAACATCATGAAGAAATTGGTAAAGTGAGTTTGGCACACAAGAAAGAGGTAGGCAGCCCTGACAGCAGCAGGAGTTTGGGTTTTTTAGAATAGTGGAAGCCACCATTGCAACTGTTTGTATCCCTGTTTTCAGATAGAAGAATTAAATGCCAAAATAAAAGAGAAAGTGGAAAAGCAGCAGAAGCTGGAGGAAGAAAGGAAGGAACAGTTTGCTCTAATAAAAAATGTAAGTTGTCTAATCAGGTGATTTTTTGGAAAAAGAAACTCATCTTGTGTTTGTCATATAAGGAGAACAAACCTTTCGGAGATGTTAAAATCTGTGGCTTTTTTTTTTTCCTCCCTTTCTCAGTGATGGCTTTGATTTTTGCAGGAGGGAGGCAAGGGGCTGGGGTGGGTCAAAGTGCTAAATAACAATATTTTTAAGCGAGCTCTTTATCTGGGTGTTCTCTGCAGGTACACGAACGAGAGCACGATCGAGAAATTTCTGAGCTGATTGCTAAACATGAAGAGGAAATGGAAGAGCTCCGTGCTGCCCTAAATAAAGAACAGCAACAGCTGTTGGATGAACTTCAGCATCAAATGGAAGCCACACACAAAGCAGAGATTGAGCAAGCTCAGATTCAGTCACAGGTATCATAAAGAATCAATAATTACTGTAGCAGTTACTTGGAGCCTGTGCTTTGCAACAGCCTTGTTTTTTGTGCATACAACATGTGCTGTTTTATATAGTGGTGTGACAGAAGAATTCGGAGTGCTCCCCTTGTGGGTGACAGTAGATAATTTCCATGGTAGTCCCCCAGGATTCTTACTATAGTTGTATCTTAAGAGTAATTCTCAATAAAACTGGATATGTAAATTGCTTTACAGTGAAAGAATTTTCCTGGATTTTATATCTCGATAAGTTTAATAATTTTTTTAACTATCCCACTAGGCTATTTAAGAATACTTTTATACTCAACTTACGTATGTTAACGTGACTTTCTCTCTTCTTAATATATGTTAGGTTTCTGGACACTTCCACCAATGTGAAGCAGAAATACAAAGAATATGACTAGTCCTACGTCTCATTACTAGATACTGGCTTAATTTTTGGCTTATTTAAAGATTGAGACATTCAGTTTGTTTTAGTTGCTTTTATTAACTGATGAATATTCAGCACTTTTTTCAATGTCATGAGACATGAATTTTATTTCCACTCCATTTTTCACAATACCACTTCAGCATTTCTTTATACCAAATTATAACCATAGCAAATAAGAGGATTTTTTAATAGCCAGTTAATGGGGGGGATTTTATTGCCTTTTGTTCTGAAGATACTGTGAGAAAATGGACAGATGCAGTGTATTTAGTAGGAAATAGGCAGGTGAGGAAAATTCAACTTTATGCTGGAAACTAACAAAAAGTCATCATATTTTCAGGGTTTTCTAGACAAAAACAAACAAAAAGACAGTGAATGCATTTCATTAAGTGAGGGGGAAACCCTTTTTCTTTGTCGTTACAGACACTGCACAACCTTGAGCTGGAAGCTTTGCGCTTAAGCTTAAATAATATGCACACATCTCAGCTGGAGCTGACTCAGTCCAATTTGAGGAAAGAAAAGGAAACTGCCCTTGTGGAACTACGGGAGATGCTCAATGATAAACGTGCTCAGGAGGTAGCAATTCTGCAAAGCCGCCATCAGCTGGAACTGGAGAAGATTAGAGAGAAATGTCTGAAGGAAAAAGATGACCTTATGTTGAAGCATCAGCAAGAATTAGGTATTAAAATATGGGAATAATGAGCTAGAAATTGAAACTCCCTAAGTACTTTTTCCTCCACAGACTTCTATCTTGGTGTAGAACTGGCCTTTTGAGGGAGAGTTGGCATTGTCATGAATAGGGAAAGGTCCAGGCTGGCCTTTGTGAGAGTACATGGCTTATGTAAAAAATAGTTGTCTGAACTAGTTTAATTTCTTTCCAACTGCATGGGTGTTTTGTTGCAACCTCTGCAAAACTGCAGTTTAGTGGATTAGTTGCTTTTTTGCAAGCGTTACATGGGGCTCTCCTGAGGAGTTTCATCATGGCGTAGAGTTCTTCAGACTGTATTCATACTTAGCTAAAAGTTTTATTTTCCTTCCCAACTCCTCTCCAGATCCCTTCAACACAGAGTACTTAGTGATACTTCAGCAGAATGGTTGCATCTCTTCCACTCTCTTTTCTAGCCATTTTTAGAAGTTAGAGCAGTTTTCTTATTGTTCCGGTCTGTTTTTCTCCTGCAATGTCTCAGGAGATAGATATGATTTAAACACTTTAAAGCATTTTGTAGTGAAACGCTGGTGTCATATCAATATACATCTGAAATAGTATCTTTAGGAATAAAGGCAGTGGTTCAGTGTTGGTCTTGGTTTGTTTGTTTTGTAATCATGCTGTCTGAGCTCTAAGCAGATAGAGCTTTGTTCATTACGGTAAACTTAACTGTTGGGAGGCAACTGATGTGTGCCTCCCAATTTAAGCCCCAATTTTTTTAATCTCCTCCATATGTCTTACTTGTCATGTAACCATGATGTTTTATATAAATTTATTAATAAATAGTATTTTGTTTTACAGATGATCAGAGAAAGAAAATAGAAATAGAAATGGAAGAGACACACATCCAGAAATTAGAGGTACAAATTCTGTCCTTCATACAAGAAAAGATAAAACTGCTTTCAGTAAATGAAAGCTGTCATAGTGGAGTCCCATTCTGTTCTGTTAATTGTAAAGGGAAAAACAGTTGGAATATGAAAACCTAGAAAAAGTCTTCAGCATTTACTAGGTGTATTTGCTTTAATAATGCACGTGTCTTACTCTGTTAGACTCTTAAAGGAGACTGGGAATTGGAATCGGAGGTACGTTTAAAAAGCATGAATGAAGAGCTGTCTGAAAAGCACCAGACTGAAATGAAGGAACTCCAGAAAACTCTGGAAATGGAATTAGAAAAACTCCAAGTGGAGCTGAGGCTTCTTTCTCTTGAGAAAGAACAGCTTGAAAGTAAGTGTCGTGATCTGAGAAGCTGTTGTCTTTATAGCAGAACTAACTATAAGAGTTTTAGAATCTATTTAAAAATAAAACATATCCCTGTACCTGATTGGATCAATGCCTGGAGACTTTCGAGAAAGCAGGAACTGAAAGATTTTGTTTGTTTGTTTAAGGCCTGGTTAATTGCATTGCATTATGACTTGCACAACAATATAAGACTCGTGATATATTTCTCTTCAAAATGTTATTGAAGGTAAGAGATGAGGGAAATAATACTCTCTTCAAATAATGGAAATCTAGTTTTAGGGATATTTGGATTCTGATGCCATCTTATAGGCAGGAGACCAACTGAGAAGTAGAGCTGTCTTTTCCTACATTATCATGGGCCAGATGTCTTCACTGTGGTCTGATGGCCTTGGCTGCTGTAAGGACATGTCGTCTTCTTCCCAGCCTGCACTGGCTTTACAAGATTTCCTTGTATCTGAACGTTTTTTGAGGAGAACATTATTTTGCAACTCACTGTTACAGACTTTCTCGGGTAGAGCAAAGAGTTGAGAGAGTGCTCAGTTAGTGTTGAGATGGCGTACCTGTGGCCGGAGCCCTCCTAGTTCTTCCTGTTCATCTCTCTTGTAGATACTATTAATGATAGTAGGATAAATTCTGTAATTGTAGGCTATGAAGAAATGTTATTTATGTATTTATTTACCCGCTCTAAATACTTGTATGGATAGATGTTTGGAAGATATTAGTTTGTAGATGCAGAGAGCAGAGGTTCATCTTATCCGTAGTACTGTAGCTGATTGCCTGGCTTAGAGCATGGGCACCAGGGAGCACAATGCAGAAACATCAAGATTTGAAATCCTTCAATATTCAAGCATGTGTGATGTTCTTAAAGTGCTGACAGCCTTATGGATAAGGTTCTTTCTATGAACTTTAAACAAGCATTCTCATTTGGTTGCATATGTTTCTGTTTTAGTCATGTAAATTGTTACACCCCTTTGCTGGCTGCTGAACAGAGCTCATTTTTTTTTTTTTTTTTGTAGTAAAATGTACAGATTTGGAGAAGCAGCACCAGTTAGCCATCACAGAATTATATGAACAGCTTCAGGCTGAACATAATCGGCTATTGGATGATACGAAGTTGAAAAGTCAAGAAAAGGAACAGAATATTCAGAAGGAGGTAAATAAGATTTCATTAGTCGAAAGGTCACAAAAAAAGTACAATATACCTATTATCTGGGCAACTTGTGTATATATATTTTTCTTTTATGATTTTATTGAAAAAGTTAAATGCATCTAATAAAGTAGATTAATGCCCTGGAATATTCTGTAATGGTCTTCTGAATAGAGCTACTACCTTTATACCACTTCAGTGTCATTCCTTCCTCTGTGTTCATCAGCATTTGCTGATACTTTATTCTTCCAGTGACAATAAATATGACACCAAGAACAGATCTGTTGCTCTGTTGAGGGAGTGGGTCTGACTAATAGTTAAGGGCTGCTCAGTATCTCTGCTAATCTGGGTTAGAAGGTGAGTCTTGTTGTTATGAGTGTTTCCACCTATTTTTGACGGGACTGTTTATGTTGCATATTAACTAAGCAATTGGAACAATAATGTTAAAAAATTAATACATTTTTCATAGCTGGAGAGACTTCAGGTCATGCATGAAGAACTAAAGACTCAGTCACAAGAAGAAATCAAGCAACTCTGGTCACAACTCAATAGCACCCGTGCAAACCGGCAGGAGTTAAGTGGTATGGCTGAAACTGATGCATTTTAATTTTTACCTCTAGTTCATATCCAAGTGCTCATTTGTGATATGACAGATGTTTAGTCATATACCAGAAACACAGCAAAGTCATAGATGTGTACAAAAGATCATGTATTGGAGTTTGGGCACATGACATGGGTTTCTGAAGTCAGAAGTGGGTCAGTGTACAACGTCTGGGAATTTTTCTGAGGTCAAGCGTGCTATGCCTTGGGGAAGTGTTCACTCTTGTTGGTTTTTTTTTATTATTATTAATGTCCTAAAATAAGAAAAACATCTTTCTATTTTAATTGTCTTTTACTAGGAAACAGGAGCATCATTTTGTTATCAGCACCGTTGTTGCAGTCATTGCTGCTCTGTAATTGTGTTGATGCCTTAGAACTCAACTTCTGCACGTTATGCAAAAGTTCAGTAAAGACCAACCATGCTACGTTTAACTTAAAATCTAAAAGCAAAAAAAAAAGAAAGAAAAGGATAATAGTCATAAGTTGAAAAGATTAATATTCTAATTTGGGGGTTTTTAGTTAGACTACAACTTTTTGAATCCCTGTTATTATGTTACAGAATTATAGCACGGATGGTGCTTTTTTTTGTATTTAACGGAACTCCTCTATTCCTTCTCTGAAGTCCTAACCTTTATTAACATTTCAAATGTCTTCCCATGTCTCTAATCACTTGCGTTTATCATTCTTTGGACTCTTTCTGTTTCTCCTTCATCTGGTTTGAGATGGTGAGACCAGAGAGCAAGCCCCTGTTTCAGGTGAGGATGATCTTTCTTGTGTGTGGAAATCTTAAAGGTGTTTGGCTTTACTCTGCTTTTCCTTTCCTTGAGTGATGCTTTGCAATAGCACTTTACAAGTCTGAGGACTCCTTGTAGTGGATCTAAAACACAGCAGCCAGAGAGCTAAATCATTGCTCTGATGTAAAAATGATAGTTCAAAACTGTAGAACGCTTTCCTGGGTTAATTTTGTGCCAGTGGATTTTGCTGGGTTAGCCAAAATCTGTGCAAGACTGGGCTTCCCTCACCTATGTCACTGTTGTTTTTATTAGTCTCTTCTTCTCATTTGATTCTTCAGCTCTCTACCTGGCAACTGCTCCCTTTGAAAGCAGGCTTGAACCACATACTGATTTCACTTATTCCTTCTGCTTGGATGTTTGCTGTGAGAATTTTTCACCGCAAGTGTGCATTTCTTTTGGTTTTCTATACAAAAACACTGGCACTTGGATGAGTCCATGTCAGCTCTTTCCTGGCTGTTAGACATCATCTGGCTTGTACTGTGGTTTGACTGGACTGACACAAACGTGCTGCCCATCTGGAGGGGAGGCTGCTGTTGGGCATTCCCCTTTTGGGAATGTTCTGGTTCTCTGCAGCATCTCCTGGGTGTCAGCAGCACCCAAAGGCCCTTGGGCAAAGCCCAGATGACTCCCTGCAGCTTGACTGCATGCTGGGCACATGAGACTGAGAGCTGCTGCCAAACCACACTTGAGAGTTCCTAGTCAAACCACAGGCTCAGGAGTGTTTCTCTGAATATTTTCTCAGCATGGGAATTTCTGGAGGTGTTTTCAGGTGGTCTTGGTGTGAATTCAGCTAAACCTAATCAATCCGGGAAACTACTTTTTTTTTTTTCTTTTAATCCCTTCTTGATTTCTCCTTTTGTTCTACCTTTTTCTTCCTAATACAATGCTTTTCCCTAATAAAGAACACTTTTTTAAAAAAGGCTCTGAAGTGGATAGCCCACCCACCGTTAAAGTAGTGCAAGATTTATTTTACTTTAGTCCAAGATTAATTTCTTTCTGTGTCTGTGTTGTCGTGTGTGGGAATTTGTGTTGGTGGGGTTTTTTTTGTTTTGTTTGTTTGTTTTCTTCTCTGCTAGATAGTTTGTGCTAAATTCCTCCACCCCTTGAGGCAAAGGAAAAATTGATAGATGTGCAAGAGGAAATTAGCCTTTCTGGTTGCTACCACAAGCAGATGTGGAGATGATTTATTTTTTTTCAGGATTCTGCCTGTCACTGACTAAAAATTGGGACACAAAGGCAATGTGAATGATTAATGATCTACTGGTAGTTTTGATTCTTTCGATGCTACTGGTTTCTCCGAATGCAGTGTAAGCAGGGAACACATTTTTGCTGTCTTCTGAGGAAAGAAAGTCTTGTCTTTCAAAAGTTTATCTTCCGTAGTGCATGGAAACTGTTTTACAGCAATCCCAACAACTAAAATATGGCTAATCCTCACAGAATGAGTTTAGCCAAATGCGTACTTAAAAAGATGCAGTGAGATGTTGTGTTCTTCTTGCCTCCATCTCAGAGTTAAAAGAGCAGCTCCTGGCCCGTGCATCACAAGTGGAGGAAATAGAACGTTTAAAGCAAGAATTTGAACAGCAACGACAGCAAAGGAAAAGTGAGCATGAAACTGAATTAGAACAATTGAGACTTTATTTTGAAAAGAAATTGAGCGTAGCTGAAGAAAACTACAGAGAGGAGCTGACTTTGCTGCATCAGAGACTGCAAGAACTGAAGGAATATTCATTGTTGGAGTCAGATGTGAGCCAGGATCAAGCAGTGGATATCAGGTGATCTATTCTGTTTCCTTTAATCTCAGGTTATGATCAATGCTTCCAAATTTTTCATATAATGATGATGTTAGCCTCTAAAGATGTTGGCATTGGGGATAAGGTGATTCAAAGTTAGAATACCAGTGAAAAAAGTCATGAATGTGGAAGATATTTTCCTGTATAGCTATTATGGTTGCTCCGTAGCTACTTTAAGTACAATATTGTAAGTTTGACAAGCTCATTTAACTTAATTTTTGACGTGTGGTGTGGTCTTAAGTTTCTAAAAATGTGTTCTCTTAGTTCCTCTGTCACAGTTTTTGAAGAGACAACTGAAAAAGAGAGGAGAGTCATACTTGACCAACTAAATCAACAGCTGGAGCAACATAAGGTAAAATTTTGCCGTATTAAAGCTCTAGTAGTTATTACATTACCCATATGAAAATTGATGTCTGGTTCCCATTTTTAGGAAACAGTTAAAGTTGTGTTTGAGACATTTATTAAGGCTTCATTAGTCTTTGTCAAGTCTGTTGTAAATTATCAGCTTTAAATAGTTCTTACCATAGCAGAACAGAAGAACTTTGGTGTTTTGCAATTGTCCTGCATTTGGATTATCCTGTGCCTCATAAAGTATGAGCTCTGATCAGAGCTCTTCCCCACATGTTGCAGAATTCATGCTGTTTCTCTTGTCTTGAACTCTGTAGTAATTGTGACTTTTACTGCTGCCACTTGAGACACTAGTTTAGTCTCTCTTCTGTTCAGTCATCTATTTTCATGTATTTTCATCTAGTTTCATGAATATGAACCTGTGTTCATAGATCATAACTTCTATGTTCTCAGGCACATATAAGAGGAGCTTTTCAGAGGTGAGAGGGATTTTTTTATCCAAATGTTTGTGAGACTTCCCTCTCTGGTACGCTTTCGAACAGCCCATAAGGCTCTGATCTGCTTTGTGTCATGGCTCCAGGGTATCTTTACTTCTGGGTGCTCTGTTGTCACAGTAGAGAGTAGAATGGCCATGACAGAGCAAAAGCTGCAGGTTTGGGGAAAGCATATATATGCCTGTGAAAAAGGTGCTTTACAGTGTGGTTCATATAGCATTTTCATTGAATCATTTCTAGCATGGTTACTTCACAACTAAAAGTGTGTTTTTCATCCATTTCTTATGTAGGAAGAACTTGCCTGTTTGCGAGTGCAGCTCAAAGAACAGCATAGGTGTGAATTAGATACCTTAAGGTCTTCCCTTGCACTTCAGTATAAGGAGGACCTAATGAAAATGAAGATGGATCTTTCGGACAAATATATAAAAGAAATTGAGGAAATGAAGAAAAAGCATTGTCTAGAACTTGAGCAGCTCCGCGCTAGACTTTCAGAAGAACATATCAAAGGTAAGATCAACCAAGAGATTAGGAAGTAAAATATCAAACTGCTTGTGGGTTTGTTTTGTTTTAATATATCTAAAGGCTTATTTGAAGAAATTTAAAAATGTGTTATTAGCTTACTGTGAACTACAGGGAACACTTAAAGCTTGTTTGTCTTTTGGACTGGACATTTTGCTCTTTGGCTCTTCTCGGCATGAATTAACTTTCAAGGATGTGGTGACCTGAAGTTGGTTGTTTTGTAGTGAAGTTTACTAAAACCAGGAGTAATTGCTAAAAATTTGATCAGATTTCCGTTCTTGATGTCTAGAGCAGCACAGTAAAATCAGAAATGAATACTTATATGAAATGTTCTTATCTTGTCTTTTAGCCATGGTGTTTTTATATTCATATGAAATAGGCCTCTTTTTCCATCATCTATAGTCTATTCTATGGAATAGGCTAACTCCTGTTCCATACCTCTTTTGTAAGTTTTTGTTTCATTAATTTTATAGCAGTCTATGCTGTTTCCCTTATATATTCCACAAGTGTTACATATATTGGGATTTTTTTTTCAAAAATAAACTATTTATGGGGGACAGAATTTGCAATAGTTAACTTCTGCTATACAATTCAGGCTAAAGACCCTCTTCTGGCTCAGTTGAAATGAGGCTTGCTACATCATCATGATTTTATATAATTTCTCTACAGTTGCTGCTTTTCTTGGAAGATACAAGCTTGTAATTTATATAAATGTACTGCTTTGCATCTTTTCAGTATGAAATGCATTTATTGTTGAGGTTCAGGTAAGGGATCACAGTAGTTCTTGTATCTGCCACATCCTTCTGGGAGCATAGTAAAATATACAACCTTTTCAATTGTTATCCATGCCTCACTGACACACATGACTGACTATTCTACTCTATGTTGGCTGAAAGGATCAGCAAACCCTTTAGAAATTGTAATTATATTTATGGCGTTTTTTCCCCCCTCTGTTAGACCAAGTATCAAACCTGCCCAAGGGAGAATGTTTAGATAGAGAGTTGCACCATCTGCCCCTTCAGGGGAATTCTTTATCCAAAGAATTCCTGCATAAAAGGAGATAAAACTTTCAGTAATCTGTCATTACATTTCCCACAAAGGTCAACTCCTGTTGACTACTGCTGATACAAGGGAAGTCATGCCATAAGATATAATTCTTTGCATTATTCTTTGTGTGCTCGTATTGATAAAAGATTAATGTTGATAATGAAGTGGAGCAGAACAGAAGTCATTTTGATAAACATTTCTTGTTCTGTAGTTAGGTGTGTCTACTGATAAACTGTGCAACTAGCAACATTTAGCATTGTTTTATTGCTGTGAATTAATAAGGCCCGTTAAAATAAATTCCAGCATGTTGTTCTATTGTTTATTCAGAAATCACCAGACTGCGACTACAGAGTGCTCAAGATGCAGCACGACAGGTAGAAATGGAGGTGGCTGAGCGAATGTCTGTGCTGGAGAAAGAACATAAGGAAAAGGTCTCTGTCCTCCAGTCTGAGAAGCAGTATATAGAAGAACTTTTAGAAGAAATAAAGCACTTAAAGGAAGAGATTGCTAAACAAAAAGATATTTCTGTGCAGAATGAAAAGCATCTGAAAGAAGAAATGGAAAAGGTAATTGGTATTAAAGTGTTGTTTTATATGGATTTGGGTGAACTCAATCCTGTTGAGAAGGCCAAGTGAAATAGAAGTTGCACTTCTCTTTAATTGTTTTAAGTTAATGATAGTAATTTTGTCTTGAAAGGGAGCTACCCACCTACAAATTATTGGTATAGGACTCAGAGCCCTCTGTCATTAAATGCTTGGTTTCCCACAGCTTAATTTTTTTCAGGAGCACACTGTGGGAAGGCACATGCTTCAAGTACTGACCATGCACCTTTTCATTGAGCAGAAGTAACTTTTCACTCAGTCGTTTTGAGGAAAAAGAAACGATCAAACAGCAAACTCTCTGTTTTTGTTTGCTTTGGTGTGGACCTTACACCTTCTTTGTCAAAGACTTAAAGTTGATAAAATCACATTTGGTGTCTTCCCTCTCTATCCATTAAATTGACTATCCTATCTGAGAATACAGTTAGGTTGGATCTTAGTGTATTCTTTAATCTATTTCAATATTTAAATGCATATCAGAATTCGATTAATATTCTTATTTCTCAAATTCTCTTTCACCCTGTCTTTGAAGAGAAGTAGGTATCTGTATCTTTTCCAAATAGGGGGGGAGAAAAAAAACACAATGGAAAAAGTCACAGGAAACTTGCAGATGTTTGAAGATAACATGAGGAATCATCTCTGTCATCTGTAATATCTTGTTTGTGGCCTTGCTTCCTTGCTTGCTAGAGAAGAGATAGCAGAGATAGAACAGGGTTGGATGGCATGGTGATTTGCTGTCTGGAAATACCTGCGGTTTGTTTCACTTCTCGTCTCTGTCTTGCAGAAGCCAAGTGGACTAATTTCATCAGTTTATTTCATCAATTTGGGCTCTTGGTTACCAGGACCCAAACTTTGCTTTGTGAATTGCATGATATATAGGTGTGTTGTATAAATGAATGCTTAAATACTCATTTTTCTTCTTTTTTTTTTTTACTTGGAAGAGCAGAAAATTAATTAAGGGCTTTGTAATAAAGCCCTTGCACTGTCTCTTATTAGTTCTTCCTTCCTTTTTAAGAAACGTTCCTGTTGTTTTCTTTAGTCTTATGGTTTATTTCTAGTTATTACCAGCATCTCTTTCTGACTTTGTTATGGAAAAAAGTTTGTTTTGCTTTGGCTTCTGTCTTTACACACCATTCTTTTTTTTGGCGGAGGGTGACATTTAAGAACTATATAAGCTGTGGAATTGCATGCTGCATATAAAATATCACTGGTATGTATAAAGAAAGGAGAGCTGAAAAGAGATCTTTAATAATGCTCTCTGTAAATTATGTAAGCTGATCATAGCTTTATAAATTGAACTGCTGGGAAGAGAAAACAAATGGTACAAGAAGATGGTACCAAGAGAAAACAAATGGTACAATTGTAAATCCAATCCCAATTGTTTCTTCCCCCCGCAGTTACTTTTTAATAGTGGATTGAATCAAACTATCTGCAAGCTGCCATTTCAACCTTACTTTTGTTTGGGAGGATGACTTAACTGCAAGAACTGAATCTCTCCAAGACCATAAATATAAATGAGTTTATACTTCAGATATTGCAGTTTGGTTCTAATACACTTATGCATTTTTAATAACTGTTTACAGGTAAAATACAAACTTATTGAAGATCACAAGACTGAATTAAGGAGTGCTAGAGAAGAAGTCCAGAAAATAGAGAAGATGTATAAAGAAAAAGAGGAAAAATGGAAGCTTGAAAATGAGGACCAGAGGATCCAAACAGAAGGAAAGTTATCACTGTTGCGTATAGAGCTAGAAAACAAATCAGAACACGAGAAGCAAAATTTACAAAAGGAATTTGAACTTCGTGAAACTGAAATGAATCAGCTGCAAGATCAGCAGGCTGCCAGAATTGTAGAATTAGAGAAGTTGGTAAAAGAGCAGCAAAACAATTTGCAACAACTAGAGGACAGTCTTGCAAGTGCACAGGCTACACAGAAATCTCAGGAGCAGTATGTCACAGAGCTGCAAGAGACCAAAACACTTATGGCAAAAGAAATGGAAAAAGCTACACTTCGTTTGCAAGAAGAATGTGCATTTAAACTCCTGGAAGCACAAAACAAGTAAGTACTGTGTATTTGGGGATTTATTTCTAGCTGGGAATAATCAGAGCTAGTGTTTGTTTCAGTTACGCTTTTTTATTTTAAGTTTAAGAAATGACAGCCATTTAGGTTTGTCACCTGATGGCACTAGCTAACTTCTGTATGCAAAGCTTTTATCCTACCAAGGAACAGTAATGTTGTCCATTAAGGTCTCCTGTATGGTTTTACTTCATATAACTGCATTAAATTTAGTCTAGCAAATCTAATGAAATCTACTCTAGTTCTGCTTGTTGCATACTAAGAATACTAGACACTGCTGAAGATCCCATACTAGTGTTTATGGAAGAGAGTATATAGGCATATAAATGGAAAACTCCCTAATCTTTGTTCAAGGGTTTTCAAACAACTTAAATGAATTTGAGCAAGTTTCTTCTAGTAAATAGAGTTTCTGATATCCAATGAAAGATGAGATTGATGGGTCACATTCAGTATTCTCTAGCAAAATTAAGTTCAGGTTAGAGATGCAGGCTGTCACTACCTGTTTGTGTGTCCTTCTCCCTTCTCCCCCATATTCAAATATTCAAACAAATACATTTTTATATTGGCATACATCATTATAAACTTGCCTCTTCTTCCCCAAGCATACGCCCATAGAAAAGATTGGGGAGATAATTACACCAAGGAAACTTTGAAATCAGAAGCTTAGCCTTTAAATAACCAATCACTTAATTATTGATATCTATACCCAAAAATACTGTAGTTAATGATTACAGCAAATGTGTTATTTTAGATACTAAATCTTCTGCATCAAACCTCAAACAGGCCCCAGATAGATGAGATAGTTTGAAGAGTCTCAGTATCCTTTATGTGCTCCAAAATGGCTTTATGTCTTGGTCTAAACAGTTTGTGTTTAAAGATTTTTCTTCTGGCAACCTGTTTGTTTGCAGATAACACGTTCAAAATGTAGGTAGTGTATATACTTTGGTTTATGTACAATATTTGTTATGTCCTAGATGCTCTTACCAGGCAATATTTGCTGAAACTGTCTTTGTAGTGGCACCTGAAATTCATCTCTTGCCTTGGGCTCATTATCAGAGATGCTTTTTCCATGCTACCCTCCAAGTGTGCTTTAATGAGCTAGAGTGAATGCTGCCCTATATTAGTGAGCAATTTAACAGGAGTGCCTCTCTCCTTGGTAATAACCAGATCTCAACAATTCCCATCATGCAAGCCCTTAATTATGTGGCTATGAAATCATCTCTGCAATTTGCTTTGGATTAGTGTTGCATGTGAAGCCCAGAAATAAAATCTGTGGAGCCTAAGAAAGGCCTGCTTCTTATTAGTTGATTATTTATCTATTTATTGATGCCTTTTATGACAATATTTTCTTGAAAATAATTTAGATTTATGGAGGAACACAAGGCTATGACTCAGAAATTCACAAGCGAGCAAGAGATTCTTCTCCAGGAGCTAAAAAAGAATCATGTTGATGAACTAGAACTCCAAAGCCAGCAGTTACAGGAGAAGCATAAGCAGCAAATTTGTTCTCTTCAAGCTGAGTTTCAGACAAAGCACCAAGCTGAACTTGAGACACTTAAATCTGCTCTAGAAAGTAAACAGCAGGCTCAGCTTCAAGCTTTTGTTGCTGAACTTCAGACAAAGCATCAAGCCCAAGTGGACGAGCTGGAGGCTAAACACTTATCAAATCTGGATTCCCTGGAGTCTTCCTACCTATCTGAAATTCAGAATATAAGAGAAGAGCACAAACAAGCTCTTGTGGAGCTACAGACGCGTCACGCACAACAATTCCGCGAACAGGAGAAAACAGCTCAAGCACGCTTGGCTCAGGAGATAGAGGTGCTGAAACTAAAGCATGCCGAAGAACTTCAGCTTTCACAAAATAATTTGAAAATTGAGCTAGCTACTGTTCACATGGAGAAACTTAAAGCCATGGCTGCTGAAGCACAGGAAGCTCATAAGGTGAGTTAAAAGAAAACTTGGCATAGAGGTTGAGATTTAATGATATCTTCTTAAGTATGAGAAACTGTTGAAATGGGTGGAAATCCCCTTTTCCTTTCTTATTCTTGGGGTGTGTTTCTACAGCCTCCTTTGTGCCAGCACTAAGGCTTGTGTGGCATGTTCTGAGCTGGCTTGTGAAACTAAAACTGAAAATTGTGGAGTTTTCTAGTCAGGATGAGGGAGGTGTACACAAGATAAATGCTTAGCATAATTTATATTGGAGGCTATAGATTTAGTGACATCTCTGTAAATTCAAAGAACTTGCTTATTAGCACAATCTCGAGGGGAAAGGAAAGGTGATCTCCAAGATCCCAGCTAGGCTTTTGGGAGCCAAAAACAGTTTTTTTTTTTTTTTTTTTTTAGGATCTCGGACAGAGAGCAGGCATAGTCTTAAGTCCTTGAAAAATACTTAAAATTTCACTATTGGCAGGGTAGAAATGTGAGGTCTCTGCTGTTGGCTGGTTAAAAAATGATCCCAGGATGTTTCCAAGGCAAAGGGGTAGGAGAGTTTAGCTCATTGCTAGAACTACAGGACCTTCCAGAGGAAGAGATGTACTGTTTCCTGACTGGTCTCATTCCCTTCTACTTCACAAATACAAAATTTGTGGGTTTCGTGTCCAGTAAGGCTAAGAAGAAAACCTTACGAGAAGGGCATTTTTTTTCGCACATCTCTACTAACTGGTTTTAAATCTGCATTGTAATTGTTCTTGGGTGTCCTCATACAGAGAACAAATTCTAAAGACATTTTGAAGATTATGATGATGAGGAACACCTGTCGCGGATAAAGGAAGAAGTAGAAGTTTTACACAACTTAAAAAACAGAACTCTTTTCTGAGACATGGCATGTGTGTTTTCATCGTTCAGGAGTAGATATTAATATTCATTTTTATGAGCTTCTACAGCTACACATGTGCCTTGCAAGTATTTTGGTACCCCATTTATATTTTTCTTGATTTGTTTTTAAATTTTACTTAGGATGATTTGAACAGAGCTCTTCAAAATCAAAGAAGCTTGCTGGAGGAAGAGAAACGTCTGGCCCTGGACACATTACGTGAGGAAGTACTGGGTATGGAGGAAAAGCATAGAAAAGCACTCCAAGAACTTCAGGATCTTCATGAGGCAGAAATTAAGAAGCATAAGGAAGAATATTCCAGGGAGCTCCAAGGAGAATTGGAGAAACTAAAAGCACAGCATGAACATGAGCAACAGGTCAGAATGATCTATCCTAAACCTAAAATAAGCTGTACTTTAAAATTGAATAAGTTCAGTTTTATTAATCCCAGAAATAAGACAGTGCCATATAGGTGCTGTTAGGCTTTATCGGTGCCAGTAGATAAGAAGAGACAAAGGTGGACTCTATCTAGAAGGACTTAAAAGAATTAAAATGTGTTTATTATCCTTACTATTATATATTTAATGTTCATAATATTTCTGTCTCTGAAGCATTTTCACATTCTTTTATTTCAAATTATTTTTAATTCAGTTTTTTAAAGCTTTCATTTTGATTGAACATAAGTAGTTAACAATTCTGGTCATTAACTGTTGCAAGCCTGTATAAGGGAACAACCTTTAATAACATAAATTTCTTCTTTTCTTCATAGTAACATTGTAGTAGCTAACACTTCTCCACATATTTTTTTTCAGTTTGATGTTAGGGATGTTTATGTGTAAGCTCGATACTGTTTGCTTTGTAGTGAATGCTAAGAAGTTAGTTCTAAAATAAGTTCTTTTTATTAATTAACATTGAAATTGGAAAAAATAATTTCTTTGTCTGTTAAACAATACTGTTTGTTTTAATGCAAGTAGCCTCAACTACTCAAGACTTCTCTATTATAAAAGTATGTATTACGCTTGTTAATTAGGAGAAGTCACCAGTCAAAATTGAGTTTTATCTACCTATAGCTGAACATCACAAGCTTTGTTATTTTATAACTTATTTTTGCTTTTTTGCTTACTAATTTGAAAAATTGGCTAGGCTCAATAACTCAACGGTTCTGTATAGCTGTAAGGATTGATGACAATTATTGTGAAAGTGCTCCAACAGTCTAGATGGCCTTTATTTTTTATTGTAACGTTGTAGCTAAAATATTTTATATTACTTAATGCAGATGTATGCTTCTGCATCAGCGTCTGAAGTAGAAACTGTGAGGACAGCTCTTTTGGCTCAGTTTGAAGAGGTTAAATTGAAGCAGCAGCTTCAATTCCAGGAAGAGATTGAGCTGCTGAAGTGTCAATCAGAGGTACTACTTGAACAGCAAATCGCCCAGCTAAAGGTGGGTCTAACTTCAAAGCATTTCATGTCCTGGAAGAAAACTGCTTTCTTTACTCACCAATAGAAAGCATGGGGTCTTTCAGTAGTGAGCACTGTTTAGAGTGCATGCACTTTACAGTGTGGTTGAAACAATTCTTTCTTCTCTTGATTCTGAACATTACAGAAGCAATTAGTTAACCAGGATTTTTTTAAGCCTCTCCCTGAAGGGGTCCTAGGGCTTTCTTTGTTTCACCTCCCTAATTTGCTGGTGTTTGACAGGACCTTCCTTTAGAGCACATCTGCCCCACTGAAGTAAAGCAAGGTAAAAGTAAGCAATGTAATAGCTGCTAGAACACTCAACAGTGTAAATATACATGGGGGGTTTTAGATTTATTCTTGTAAATTATTTGCCTTGCATGGAGCTCAGCACCGCACATAACTTTTGCTTTTTCTAAGTGTCTCATCTCTCAGCAATTTGATTTAGCCAGTTCTTTTTCTGCTTCTCATCACTGTTCCATAAGTTTGAAATTATGCAGATACTAGGGAGCACATTCAGATAATGTGTTTACTTATTTAACTACTCGTAAAAAATAGTTTTGGTATAACTTTGTTTTGGAGATTAGACTGTAGATTGCTGCTAGTTGATTTGAGCTTTTTTTGTTTGTTTGTTTAAGGAGGGGGGCTTTTGTTTCTGGAAGTGGAGGGTTTTTTATTGTAAAGGGTATGTAATCCAAAGTGTATGTTACTTATGCAGGAGGAATTTGAAGCTGAAAAAAAGTCTTCACTGCATGACAAGGAGCAGGTGTTGATTCAGGAGAAGGAAAAGGTCCTGGCTGCTCAAGAAAAGGAGAAGGAGATGTTATCAGTACAACTACAGGAAAAGGCAGATATAATTATGCAGGTTTGGAAAAATACTTAAACCTAGGTTTTAAGTGTTCTTTTTTGTTTGTTTGTTAATACAGCACTGCCACTTTCTCAAGGTGCATGTGCAAGGACTGTGTGCATGGCTCTAGGTGACTGCTATTGCGCAAGGCTTCACGTGCCATGTTTGCTAGCTGCAGTGCTCCAACAGTAACAAGGAAACTGAAACTTGGTAATAATTCGAAAATACTTTAACCTTTTCAGAGCTCTTTAACCTTTTTTCAGTGAGATTAACACGGCTTTAAAAGAAAAAGTTCAGTGTTTTGCTTTCTGTGTCTTGTGTATTGATGGCATCTGTATCTATCCTAGGAAAGATCTGTAGAAAAATGTGCTTTAGCTTTTTAGACTAACTGTGCTACAGCTTGGGGGGGAAGGGGTTGACATACTGTGCTCTTCGGCTTTCGTGTTTAGTGGAAAAACTAGG